TCCAAGAAATATATTGAGGACATCGTATTGCAGCATTTGAATTTCATCTTCAACCAGTCTCATGCTGTCGGCGAATGAAAGTGTGATGAACTCCAGCGTACCCTGGTGACAGAGGTTTGTTTCAGAGCACAGTCCAACCCTGTGTGACAGCGCAGCCCTTTAAAGGCCTTTGCTGCCCTCTGCCTGGTGCCTCGGAGGGTGAGCTGCTGAAATATTAACACGGGATAATTTTGTGCTGTAGAATCCATGCCTGATCTATTCCGAATTAGCCAGCACTGTTCCTAGCAGCTCTTGATGTTCTGCTCAAGCACAGACAGCTTCCCTCAGCTGCAGCATCAGACCCAACACATGCGTCAAGACTACATCTCTGAACTGTGAGCTCTTGCAGAGCTGTGCCCAGTTCTGCCAGGACTCAGGCCAATGAGTGTCAGAGAGTGGCAAGTCTGAAAACCTGTGTACCTCTCCCTGCAGATCCCATAATGGTTGCATTTCACTAGGATGCTCGTTTATGTCCGTGAGTGCTGAAGCTACTGATACCCTCAATATTAGGAGTGAGTAGTGGCTGTAATATTTGTCCTTGCCTGAAACTACCCACAAGTAGGTTAAGGGAAGCTGGCTGTCTGATAGAGAAACTAGTCATCTATAGCTTGCAGCTATCAATCCAAGCTGAATTTGCAAGACAGAACCTGTGCTCACGTGACTGCACTACTGAAATAAACACTTAAATAGTGTTCAGAAAAGTTATTTCAAAAAGAACATCATACAAAACACTCCAATTTTTTTTCTCATTTTCTCTGTAATGCTCCTTAAAATGCAGTCCTTGTAGAATATCATCATATCACCAGCTGACCCCAGAATATATTCACATTATTAGCTCGTCTCTTGTCTCATCTGCTGTATCTCATAAACTGTTCAGGGAAAGAGCTGCAATTTTGTTATTGTTACTCCTTTAACATTAGAATTTCACACTGCAGGACAGCAAATAAATAGTTTCTGGAGTGTTAGCTAAAAATACCACCAGCTGAGATTTCTTTGCAGATATTAGGACAAGTTCATAAGCTTTTCACTAAGCAAAAGATATGCCAAAGACATCTGAAATATTACTTCAAATGAATCCAGTTAATTGGGATTTTTTTAGGTCAATTATCTCAATGGAAAAATATCATTTCAAATAACCTCTCTCAGAAATTCTTAATGAGAACTTTCTGGTTTCCCCACTGCATCTTTTACTCCAGAAAATCTAAAGAAAACTGTTTAGCTCAGGATGACAGTCTGAATTCTATGGCTTTTAGAGGCATTTTGAGTCACTGTAAAACTAAAATGTATTTTTCTACTGCGTGGGAACCATAATGATCAAGAAAAAAATCCCAGAGAAACTCCCCAGAGAAAACTGTGACTCCAGGAAGGAAGGAAGGAGGGAATAATAAGAGACACTGGAATAGGGTCACCCTCACCTCCCCAGCTATCTGACATTAAAACTGCTAAGAAGAAGTATCCATGTTATGACAGCCTTCATGCTTTCATGAAGGTAATAAATCAAAATAGGGGGGCCTCTGGTGGTCTAGTGGTTAGGGTGCAGGACTCTCCTCGGCCCCGGCAGATGAACCTCAGGATTAAAGGGTGGGCTCAGTTCAGCGCACGCTGGGTCTCACCTAAAAAAAAAAAAAAATCCACTGCGCAGGCTCGAAGGGTAATGACCTTTCCCAAATCTTCGCTCGCGAAGACTGGCCATTATTATTATAAATCAAAATAAAACAGTCCTGCTTGTAAGTTTCAGTGAATTATGACGAGTTTAGGAATACCTGTTTCTCACCTTACTGCAGGCATCAGTTTGGGATCTGATGGCATCAAGAAATTAGACCTTACCCAAGTCTAGTGTTTTCACTAACTATGAAGGTCCTTGATTTACTACTGAATAGATGCAGGACAAAATCCCATTCTGTGTATCTTTCCAGTTTGACATTCTTATGCATTTCCTGAGTTTTCCATGAAGTTTTACAAAGCTTCAGACACCCTACATTTCCATAGGATTCCTGAGATAGTGTCAAAGCCACATTAAACAGCAGTAAATTATATTAACAGCCTCTCTCCTGAGAACAGACCTCTAACTATGTCCTCAAACAAAACTAAGTAACTTTGACATTATTGGGTGAGCACTGACTCTTTCTGGTTTCCTCCCAATGCTTACAATTTGATTATTTTCCAGGATATTCTGAGAAGTGCAATTAGGCTGACTGATTTATAACACCACAGCTTCTCTTACCATCTGAAGACAAGGAAATGTTTGACCTTTTCCCCTCCTCCACAGGTTCTCATAGATAACTGCCAATAGCTCTGAGGTTGATAGTGTTCCCCTAAGTGCCCTGGGATGAATCAGCTCAACCAATTTGAAAACATCACGTTCATCTAGCTATTTTCTAACCTATTCTTCCTAATCTAGACAGAAATCTTCCATGAACATCAGTGGTGTTGAATGTATTGGTCTTTGGATCACTGTTGCCATTTTCATTGACAACCAAAGTCGAAAAAGGCATTAAATTGCCCATCTGCCAGAGAGCCTTCCTGATTTACTGCAGTTTTAAGAAACCATCACTTCCCTTTTTTCTCATTATACTCCTTGAAATACAGAATTTTTTTCTTTACTACTTACATTTGCTTTGTGTATAAACTTTCAGTGAAAAGGGTGTCAGATGAACATCACAAATTCATAGGCTCTGAGCCTCTCCAAGAGCTACATGAACCCAAAATCTTCAACTTTGCCTCTCTACATTTTCTGCATTTTCCTTTACAGCCAGATCTTCCACTCTGTGGTTGAACAGTTGCATGGTGCCACTTCAGAAAATGGAGCCTGAGGAAGACGTGAGAAGTAACACAGAAGCAATAAAGAAAAGAAGAGAGAGGAATTAAGGATATCAGGGGTGGTCTCCAAGACAGCCCTTAAAGATCAGCAGCCCTGGAGTGACACAGATCAGCCTGATTGGAGGAGACACCACACAGCCGAGGCTGAGAGCATTATCACAGACCTCATGAGTGGCAGCTGGGCTTCTCTCAGAGCTGCTCTCAGGCTTTTAAAAGCTCAAAAAGACCAGGCTTTATTAGAAAATGAGCTAAAGTGACTCACTTTTAAAATAGGTCAGGCAAGAACAGAAATGCAAAGGCCCTGAAAAGCACAGCTCTCCCCTCCTGTTGCTGGGAGCCTCCCGCTGACGTCCTGCTGTCATGTCTCGTGTGCTGGGCAATCATCTCCTGGACATCTGTGCACAATGGACTAAAAATCACCAACGAGCAGTTCCTGTCACAGCAGGCATTAGCACACCCAGTGTGAATAAACTGCCTGTGTACAATGTCCAGTTTCCCTCTGAAGTGCCCTACATGTCTCCTCTCAGACACCTGGACCAGTGGGATTTATACTCCTTGTTTGGGTTGTGCCATTCCCATGGGTTCAGGGAACTCATCCTGCTCTGACTGTGTATGGGCCATCCTAGGCACACTTCTGTCCAGGCCAATTTATGATCTTCCCTTTTGGAAGGATGTCTGGGGAACCATGTGGCTGTTAGGAGTTACAGCATCACACAGCAGTGATGTTAGTGCTTGTAATGCTACTGATGTTTTCAGCTTCATTTTTAAGAAGCAATGACAGCTCCAACATGTCCAGATCACAGCAGTTTCTGCTTTGCCTTATCTACTCATGCACACATGCAAATCCACACAGACTTGGACATCAGTTTTTAACAGGGCATAGTTTTCTGTCAAAGAAAATGTCAGGATGTGATCTTCCATATTTCACTACTGCTATCCTGCCATTTAATTTAATAACAGCTAAATATCAAGTGGTTACTATTTTGATGCTCTGTTCCATCAGCTATTGAATTAGAAATAATGGGACTGGTCTAAATTTGTGATTCATGGTGAACTGCCGAAACTAATCTCAATCACGCAGAGAACAACATCCACTGATAACTGATTTAATAGATTATCATCTTGAGCTGTCCTGTCCTCTCTCACAGAAATAGGAATATTAATGAAGTACAAGTTCACTCACACTTTGAAAGTCTTTTCCAGACAATATAAATATTCACCACGGGAAACAATTTTTTCCTTTTTGGCTATTATAGACTCTTCCATTGCATTTGACAGGCATTTTGTGTATATGGCAAACCTTTGTGGCTTCAGGAATACTGCTGAACTGCTGAGGTGTTTTAAAATTCTCTCAGGTGTTTGCCATGAATATTTTTCACCTTACCATTGACTCTTTCTACAGGAGGCTCTTTGCCCAAATTGCCCCTTGGGGGAGCTCCTTGCACCTGCTGTATCAACCTGCTAGTGCTGATCCTAACAGGGGTCATGCATGGGTGTAAAGAGTTGCTCTGTTAGAAAAGACTTTCCAAAACTAACAAGAATTTTAAAATGTTAAAGGTATGTGCCCTAAAATAAATCCTCTCTCTGTAGCTTCACTCTCCACCAAGTTTCAGCCTGCAACTTTTCTCTGCTGGACTCAATTATCCTCTGCCAGGTTTAAAGATGCCTTAACACATATTTTCCTGCATCTTTTATTAGTGACCATCAACAAAAAGTTGACTGAAATGTTACAGCTGATGACAGTAACATCAAGAGGCAGAATCTTCCAGGTTTGTTTTCCCAAACTTCATTGCTTTTTGAAACAGGATAACTCAGAGATAATGAATTAATTTTGAAGTCTGCTGGTCAATTTTGTCATTTGCTCACCAGTGTACCAGAGTTATATCTGCCAGGCCAGACAGCAACTGCAAGATTCCTTTATGGCTGAGAATGACGATGCCTTACAGATCAAATTAACTTTTACAAAATAAAAGGATCACCTTCAAGAGCAGGTAAGAGGGTCTGAACAAAATTTTCTGATGTAGACAAGAGGTGGCTTTTGGAGTAGAAATTCAAATCCAAGACAAAAAGCATTATGTGGTCTCAAGACATACATTCACAAAGGCAACAAAGATGTTTCATGGACATTGCACATGTCCAGCCTAGCGTGGAATGGCACAAACCCTGTACGGGTGGGGCTGCAGGGTACCCCCCAAAATGGGCTCTGTGTTGATCTCTGTCACTCCCTCGGGGAGCTGGAAGGTGAAAGCCCGCAGCAGGTTGGCAAAGAAAATAAAGAGCTCGGTCCTCGCTAGGTGCTCCCCCAAACACACACGGTGCCCTGCAGAGGGAAGAGGGGAGGACAGTGAGTAAATTACCCTGACCTCAACAGCAGTTGTATTCATTCTCACACAAAGCTAGGGTATTTTTGCCTAACTGAGAATTTCTTTAGGACTTAATGCAATCAATGACACAAAGTTTAGTGTAATTCTTCCTTTGACCAGTCTTACCTGCAGCTACAGATAACCGTGTGGCCCTTCTGCTCCAAGTATCCCTTCAATTACCTCAAAAATCTCATCTTAATTTGACTGACAACTTGAAAGGAATTCATTCCATCATACAAACGAAGAATAAGGTCCTACTTTTCCTGAGAGATGTCAGGCTCCAGTGTTGTATGCATAAAGAATCAGGAGGGCTACTTGCAAGTACTTTCCAAAATGTATGTCTGGTGTGAAATGTATGCCCAAAATCAATAGACATGATCATTAGCAGAGAATTTCCTTCTAAAAATAAGGTGAGTTAGATATATACATTTGTCAGGACACCTCTATTTTTCCACGTTATTATTTGTTCAGTAGAACAAAAGTTACTGAAAGTAATCATGTTGATTTAAGCATTGTTTTCCACAAAAAGTTTTAAAATAGAAAACCAATAGGTTTTTAATAGACATCTTCATTCTACACTCCCAATCCAAACTGTTAATGCTTGTGCTGTCAGTCCATTTACCTATTGAGAATGGTAAAAAGGCTTCTTGGCTCACAAAGTTTCCATCCTTATCTAAGAAGTGACCAGGGTTGAAGTGTCGAGGTGTTTCCCACTGCTCTGGGTCATACAAAGATGAAGCAATATTTGGAAGAACTATGGTGCCCTGAAAGGAGAAAAACACTCAGTTCTGGCAGTGAGTCCTTACCCAGCAGCCAGAGCCAGCTGGTGAGACCAGTGTTCGTTCCCTCTCGGAGTTCAGTGTTTTGTGCTGATAGACTCAGTTCCCCAGTAAGGACCGTGAGGAACTCTAAATATTTTTGCTTCAGAATGTTGATCCGAGCCAGACAGTGGAAGTGACCATGTCAATAGGAACTAACAACTTTATTTGTGCTAAATCCGTTTTCACTTCCAGTGTTAGGAGTTTCTGTGATTTAGTCTCTTTGACAAAAGCTAGTTGCAAGTTGTCATCCTTTTCCCCAGATCTTTTACAGGCTTTCTGAACACAAAAATTCAGTCAGAAATCTTTCCAATGCCTTATCAGCACAAACCCACCATAGTTTCCTTCAGTATCAATCACAAATGTTTTGTCTTTATTGGTTTGTAGAAACACTTCGCTAAAATATCCTTTTCCATCCAGGGGCATCTCTCACTACTGATAACCCTCTCCTCAAGAGCTGCATCGCTCAGCCTGACAGATGAGTTCTCATCTTTGTTCCCATTCAATGGGACCCGGAGGTATCCAGTCCCCCTGCTACTGAGGAGAAGCTCCTGGCACAAACAGATTTTAATCCACACCTTGTTCTACTGATGCAATAAAGGTGTGTAGCAACTTAGAAACTGCGTCTGTACCTTTTTGAGGGGAAAGCCAAGCAATGTTGTTTTCCTCACACACACCCTGGGCATGCCAACTGAGATAATGTTGCTGAAGCGTTGGATCTCATGAACCACAGCGTTTGTGTAGGGCAGTTCTCTCCGATCCTCATAGCAGATTAACTTGGAAGGACCTAGAACAGCATCCAACTCCTTCTGAACTTTTTCTGTGGAGAAATATTCAATGTTTCAGGTGGAAAAACATATCAAGTATTTTCACTAATTCTATTTAACATTCTGTTAAAAGGAAATGGTTCTTATGTAGAATGTCTGCTAAGTGAAACAATGCCAATTAGAACAATGTCCAAATACCAAGAAAGAAATGTGTCTAGTCCTTGGCACCTGCTTTTTGATCAAAAATAGCATGTTTTAAATCACTTATTGCACAGGAGTCTTGGGAGCATTAACAAAAACAAAACTTCATTTTATAAACTTCAAGAGAGGCAGGACACATCACCTAAAAAAAACACCTTAGATTTTTAATAAATGATCCTATCTTTTTTCCAGGCTGGTTGAAGAAGCAGTAAGATGTAGGGAAGTCCGTTCTCCATCACATCAAGCTGCTCTGTGACTGCCAGCAGTCCTTCACACAACTGTGCTAGGTAGGCTCTCACGACTGAGATTTAAGCACCTTACAGAATTTAAAATGTATGTCCAGAAAGATTTTTAAGTAAACTTCCTTCTATGAAGAGCTATCTTGCATAAGCAAGCATGACTACTTCAGCATCCAGTGTAGTTTGAAGTAATCAGTCACTGTGTAATATATACACACATCTCTGTTTGGGTTGTTGAGAGAACAAGGAGAGCCTGATTTAATGGTGAGACAAAAGGCCAAAATTTTCCATATGTTACAGAGTGGAACTGCACAACATTGTCATTGGGTCTCAATACATGCAACAGTATGAATGGGTTCAAAAAGAAGCCCAGGAAGGATCACTCTGCACCCACCCTGCTTTCCCACATATGTGCAAGGTATTATATTTAACTAAATAAAATTACACAGGTGAGTTAGTGCTTTCGTAACCTTAATTACACAGGTGATAACAAAACGTGATAACATGAGATTAAGCGGAATTTCTTGTCTGACAGCTACAAGATGAGTCATTTTTTCTTATCTTCATGTCTTTCCTCCATTTAAAATCCTGTTCTCCTCTGCGTATTTGCACATGTTCTGTGATGTAACAATGAGATTTCTGTTATCCAGCATAAGACATCCTTCTTCCTTTCCTTTTCATTTAGTGCTATATGAAAGTGATTGATGGTTATTTAAAAACTAGACTTAAAAACAAGCTTCTTAAATACAAATATATGTAATAGATGAGCCATCAGTTTCCTCTCCTGACTGGAATAATTTCTGTTATAAGAAACTCAAACACATCACAGAGTTAATTTAATCACAGGTTAGATAGACACCCTGGTACCTTGGGATCGGAAACGAACTGATGGGCAAAAGTAAAGTCAAGGCTGGCAGTTGACCTTTAGGCAATTTTCTGTATTTCTTCTGTAACTTACAGAGCACCAAGAGGGGCAGGACCCCCTGTGGTCCCTCTTACTGATACTCAGCAATACAAAGCACAGTTGAAGCAAGTTTCCAAACAGTGACACTCCTATTATCACACATTAGTTTCAGGTTAATTATTTTCAGCCATCAGTCGTGTTTACAGCTAAGACAGAACCCAACCCAATTTCTTGAAGCACCATGAGCACCCCTCACCAATGGCTGCAGCAGTGGCCACTGTTCCTTTAAGGAACACATGTGCAAACTGCTAGCTTCCCAAAAAGTGACTCCAGTCCTCTTATCTCTACCACAGTCTTAATTTCCCCACAGACCCCTACACCTCAATCAGCCACAGTCTCCTATACAGGTGCATAATTCCCAAGTGGTTAACTGTGGGAACTGCCTTATTCTTGTGGCTGCTCTAAGAGCTTTTGTACAGATTCCCTGCATCTACTGATGCTGCCTAGCAGAGATCTACCAGTACAAAAAGGTACATGTACCACTAGGCATATATCAGTATCTAGGAATAATCTCTGATCCATGAAAATGTTATGACTTGGCTGCTCTATTGCATGAAAGATATTTGTGATGTGCTTATTACTCACCTTGAATGTCTGGATATGCCACCATATAGAGCAGACCCCAGTTCAAAGTAGTGCTTGTTGTCTCTGATCCACCCAGGAAAAGGTCATTTATAGAATAAACCATGTTGTCTTCACTGTATGTAGACCTGGGTTCATCTTTGGACTGCAAATGATAAGAAAAAATAGAGGCTTATACATGAAAGTTAGAAAAATCCAAATAGGGTTAAATGTGATTTTATAACTGGTCCCAAGCTGCAGTGTGTTCTGCATATAGGACAATACAGAGACTGATAAGGAATGTTAGACAGCAAGGATGACTATCAATACAAAAAGCTAACATTTCACAGAGACAAGCTATCTTTACTGCCCTTTTAATCATGAAGCTAAATTGCATGTTCTTTGCAGAAAGGGATTATTGGCTTAAATGTACAAATAGTGGTTCGTTTAGAAGGTTTCATAAGTAAATCTTCCTCTAAAGATGTCTACCAGCATGTCATTCTTCATGCCTCAAGTCACAGTCCACCACTTATTTTTTCTAGCAAGCAATGCAGTGACAAGGTAACGAACACTGCGCTGTGTAAAGTTCTTAACCTGTGGTATTCAGGTTTCTTCTTCACTACAAAGGCACAATGACTCACATACAGCTGCTCTGGGGTTTTACAGTTTTCAATTAGAAGTGTGAGGACGTGTATGTATACACTGAAACTATAAAAGAACATCATTATGGTTTGGGGGAATTCATTGTCTAAATTTAGGGAGGTTATGCTCAGGGGTCTTGAACCTTTCTCTTGCCAATGGAGCAATTGAAAAGTGGAAAGGATGTTTTTCCCTGCTGTAATATCATCTAATCTTTTTTTATTGCTCCTGTGCATCTATTACAGACAGTTCAATTTTTTTAATAAACAAACTTGGATGATTTCCATCCGACAGATCCCAGAAGAGCTCACTGAAAAAATTTCTGGTCCACTGATTTTCAAGACTCATAAATCTTAGAACAGCAGTGAAATGCTTTAGAAGCTGTTAAATGCTTTGGAAAGCCAGATGTGTGAATGTGCCGGTACAAAAAAAAAATAAAACAAGGGGATCCCAGGAACTAGAAGCCAGTTGGGCAGACATCCATCCTGGCCATAAAAATATAGCAGCTGATGTGGTAATTAATTAATAAAGAATTACCAGTTAGAAATACAAACTGATGCTATTGGTTATTATATAGAAAAAAATGATCATAGCAAGGAGATCTGATTTGACTCTTTGGTAGAAGTACTAGCTTGGATGATAATGACAATTTCACAGTTGCAGTATGCTTGGAGTCCACAGGATCGTTGCTTTTGTTCCCCAGAATAATAAAAAATCTAGCACTATTAAGTATTCATAAGACACAAGCTACAAGACTGAAGAGTAGGCTGACAGAAATAGCTAACAGACAATAGCTGGGAGGGATTTCTCCCCTGGCTGCACATCTGTAGTGACTGAGCACAGCAGCAGAGCTGCTCAGGGCGTACACAAGGCGGGCAGTACCCAGGACAGCAGCTCCCTTTCTGCTGTGACAGGAGATGCAGGATGAGTGCCTGTAGCCTGACAGAAAAAACTTACTTTTTCAATGTGATCCAGGTAAAAGTCAATGAAATCCTGCAGTTCATCTGGTATCCCACGCTCCATGTGCATTCTGATCTCTCTCCGTGTAAAGGAGCTCAGGACATCATAACAAGCCAAGGCCTTCTTATGGGGCCCAGGGAGACGACACATCAACCAGGGGAAGATTTCATACAGCTGTGGGAGTGACACACAAGAGGCACTGTAAAGTCTCTATCACTAGAAAATGCACTAGAAAGGCCTGCTACAGAGAGAGGGTGATGTTCATGTTAGCATGGGGTTTGGACCTCATTAGTAAAATATCCTGTCAAAGACTGTGCTTATGCTTTCAAGTGTGAAACAGTACACTATTTAGTTTCTAGCTGTTTTGATGGTAAGATTCAGAGTTCCACAGGCTTTCAGCTCAATCACAAGCTAAATTAGAATTACTATAACTAGGATGAACTGTGTTCGTCTATTCAGTTATTCAAGTCACATCTTCAATTACTATGAACTGCATTCGGGCATTCTAAAAGTGACATCCTGCCCTCCAGTGGAGAATACCGGGAACGGAAAAGCAAAACTTGCCAACTGTCCTCACCAGGATGTGCAAAAGGAGTTGATAAACCCAAAGCAAGGGCTGGCTGCCGGCAGCTGCTATACAGGCTGGGTAATCCCTAAAGCACTCTCTACCAATTGGCCTCTCAAGGGTCCTCAATAAAATTTCAAATGTTTGAAATCCAGAAAATCTGAGGAACAGCTACCTGACAAATTTGAGTGCTCTCCTCTAGAAAGGAAGAAGGCATTAGCTGACACAACCAGATTAATTTTTTCCTTCTCTCTTACCATTGGAGAAAATCTAGCCTAAGATATAGCTGCTTTCTACTTATTCTGATAGCTAGAAAGTTCGTTCTGATTTTCAGCCTATATTTATGCTTGGGTAATTTGTATACATTGTTCTTGTATCTGCAGTGTACTTTCTCCAATCCACCTTCCTGGCTACTGGTCCTGCCAAAACTCCTCCTTCATTTCTGGAGAAGCCCAATCCACAGTGTTCTCCTGCTTAGTGCCTGACAACATGGGATCCAGTCAAGAAATTGGGATGTGGATGCAGCAATACCATTTTTTACACAATACTGAGTACTCTTTGCATCTGGGAAGTGGGAAGATTGTGGCCATTGCTCCAGAACAATTTGAATAGCTGTTCTTGTTTCCTCAAAAAGTATCTTATTCACTGGACTAAGCAAAGCCAGGGCAGGAAGGAGACAAGAAAAGGAGGTATGTTCTCTGTCCTAATAGCAGGTCTCGCCACCACTACACTCAACTTACAGGAGCAGAGTTAGGCTAAGCAAAAGGGAACCTGACCATAACCCAGTGAAAAGAATGCTCTGTGGGATGTGGAGGGAAATATTTGTATTACAGGGATTCCTTTGTGGTTTACATTAAGAATTTACTGCATAAGATGTATGGGACAACTTTGGCAGTGGGACAGAACCAGAACTCCCAGGAAACTTTGAATGCACTTCTGTGCAAAGGAGGCCTCTAGTGTCAGATGAGTCCTTGACTCCCAGATTGTTTGATTGCCAAGCTTAGAGTTATATTTGTTGGCTTAGCATTTCCTGTCATCTGCTGCCTGTGTCTGGAGCTACTCCTCACTCCGGCTGAAGGAGTAGAATTTCTCTGGGAAGTCTTCAAGTCCAAGTTTTAAAGAGGAAATGGTGATAAGTAGCCACAGGCAAAACACTTCGGTATTTGAATAATTCTTCTCTCTGTTGACTCTACAAAACAGTGTCTAAACTTGGCATGTGAATCACACCTTTAGACCTGATTTTTCATATTTAAGAATCATATTGTCCAAGGCAGGAGTCTGATGCCTAGAGGCTGAAAAACCATGACCCAGGAGCAGTCCATGGGCCTATGCCTTGCTGCAAAGAGTTAGGAGCAGGCTACCAGAGTGCTCAAACATAGGACAATGAACACAAATGCCTGAGGCTGGTATGTGGAGCATTACCATCACATTTTGACAGAGTGCACTGCCCAGTAAAACTGCACAGGACACCACTCACCCATTCGAAAACTTCTGCCCAACAGCCACCTCTTGAATCTGCATTTCTCACTCTCCGTCTTATTTAGAGAAATACAACAGATTGTTCACTTACATGATGAATAAAGCTGCCCGCAAATTTGAACAGTTCCTCTGTGGCTCTAATCAGTTCATGAAAGGTCTCATCCTCTCTGGCAAAACGATGTCCAAACACGACAGCACAAATTACATTTGAGACAGAATGAACAAGAGAGAAAGAAGGATCCAGAGCTTTCCCTGCAATCATAATAATAAATGTCACTGTTAATGTCTCCTGCTTTAGTGAAATCAGAGAATGTTATAGGTTACCCAAAGAAGAGAGCATTGCATTTCATGGAGAAGCAGCAATCTTCTTACAAAATTATAATATCAAACTGATTCTTCATGACCATGGTGCAATCCCATAATCCCAGGAATGTGTGGCACCCTAAAGAAATGCCAGATATGTAAAATATTTTGTAATATGATAGAGCAAATTTAGAGATAAGGAAAAAACATTCAATGCAAATTTGCTGCCCGGCAAATTCAAAATATGTCTTAAGCATGGGAATGACTGAGAACACTGTGGATGAAGGGAACCTGAAGGGAGAACTGCAAGAAGGGAGACAGCCTTATCCAGCAAGGACATATAGGCCACTATGTTTTGTCTGACCTTGCTAGAGATGAAGAATCTCCAGTAAAATAAAATGTTGTAAACTCTTTTCAACCAATTTTGGCAGGGATACAATAACTAATTTTAAAGCAATTATTTGAAAACCTAATCTCAAATCCCTCTTTTGTGACTCTGGAATAAATTACTATAAACAACTTTATTTATGTATGCAAGTGTCCAACACACAAGGCATGATTCTGATTAGCAACTTACTGTTTTGTGCTTTTTTTCTCCTACATATATGGCCACATTTCAATCTCTCCTAGTTCTTAAACCATAGGATTGGGCTAGATTTAATTACTTTTAACTGACATAATGCTAGTCACAGCATGTCCTGATTTACTGTGCCTTTGCGCAATGATCAGTATTTGGAAATCCAACTCACATGATCCTAACTGGGTTGAGAAGGGTAGAATCTTGTATTGAAGATTCTAGTCACTGCTACATGGAGTGTTCAAATAGCATATCAGACAAAACTTAATTCATCAGCATTGACAGTGCCTCCATAAGTTTATGCACCAGCACCATATTTGAGCCAGCAATGTGCCCTTGAGGCAAAGGCCAACATCATCCTGGGCTGCATTAGGAAATGAATTGCTGGCAGGCCAAGGAAGGGGTCCTTCCCCTCTGACCAGCACTGGTGAGACCCATTTGGAGGGCTGGGTCCAGTTTTGGGCTCCCCAGTACGAGAGACGTCAACATACTACAACAGGTTGAACAAAGGACCAAAAGGACAATTAAGGGTTTGAAGCATCTGACATAAGACAGGCTGAGAGAGACTGTTTAGTTTGGAGAAGAGAAGGCTTAGGGAGGTATCTAAATATGTAGAAATACCTGGTGGAGGGGAATAAAGAACATGGGGCCAGATTTTTCTCAGTGGTATCAAGTGAGGCAATAGGCAAAAATACATTAAATTCCGCATAAACATAAGAACCTTTTTTACTGAAGAACTGATTGAACAGCAGAACTGGTTATCCAGAGAGGTGATGAAGTCTCCATTCTTTAAGATACTTACAATTCAGCCCTAAGAAATCTGCTCAGATTGACCCTTCTTTGAGAAGGGATTAGACTAGTCCATCTTCAGAGATCCCTTTCCCCTTAGGGTGTTCTATGATATAAATAATAAATAAGTTCCAGTTTTAATTCCCAGCTGTAGTTGTTTTGTAAATAACTTCGAACAATAAATAGTCTCCTTGAAAACACAGGACTGGGGTCTTTGCATTTTCAGTCCGTTCCACAAAGACACTGAAAGACTAATGTGCACATTCTCTTGTGGAACAAAAGTAGCCCTTAATTTCAGAGAAGTTCATACGCTAAGGACATCAGACTAATGGTAGAAATGTATTGATATTTATTGCAGAGATACCTTTCATACTTGCAAAGAAGTCTACCAGGTAGTGGGCTTCCTCTTGAACTCGGTGCTCCAGACCTCTTTTCCCCAGGCCGAGGTTGCGTAGTGTCCTGAGTGCAAACCTTCTCTGCTGCTTCCAGGTGTGACCAGTTGCCAACATAATCCCTACATACATTAGAGGAAGATTTCTTTATCATGCTAATATTAATTATAGACAAGGACTACATTACAGGATATACTAGGCCACGGAATATAATTAAACTATTGCATTGCCTAAGAACACAAAGGCACAAAGAACTCTGGCATGTAAGTATGTTAACAGGGCTGAAAAGGACAAACTCAGCTGGATAATAAGATGACTGGCAGGATTAAGCTTGATCCAAGACAACCAGCTTTCTCTGCAAGTCTGACAGCTGCTTCTCTAGATGCTCTTTGTAGTGCTCGTCTCACATTCTGCTGTACCTGAAGCTCACCTGAATCAGGTTAATGGTTCTTGTGAAGGGAAAGGGGGAAAGAACTCTGACTGTTCACAGGCAGGAATGAAAGTTCCTGTCCACAGGGCAGGAAAGTTCAGTGCTTAGGCTTTGTGACAGGCTTTGGGAATTCCCAGTGTGGTTGGTGGTATGAAACCTACAGCAAGGTTGAAATAGAAGCACACTGAGCCTCTGGGTGTTACTGTGGGAGTAAGAAAACGTTCACAAAAGGAAGGAAGGGAACAGGAAGAAGATCCCACTATCAATCTCACTCTTTAATTGAAAATGTAATAGTGGGAGGCAGCAAGTCCAGGACAAGGAAGTGGGCTGTTTCCCGCTTTTTTTCCAGTTCTCTGTGGCACAACTTATCACTGCCTCATCGCATCACCTCTGAATCTGCTCCAGTGAGTACTTCACACAAGACATTATGAATCTTTTTTCTTTTGCTTGTATTTTCCTCCTGCTACTGTCCAAAAGCTATTTCACCCCTCCCTACCTTGCAGTTCACCTGGCAGTCATTCCTTGTAGACAAACCCTACTTACTGTGGTACCTCTGAAAGTGGTTACAAGCTACAAAAGAGCTGCAATTTATAAAGATGATGCTTCTGTGCAGTGTTTATGGAAAGAAATTCTCACCTTTTCCTTTGGCCATTGCTCTGAAGAAAGGAGACACCAGCCTCCCAGAAACATCTTCAGGGTGCATGGTCATACCATCCTTCACTGCTTGAAATCCATTCAGTACAACCACTGGGGCCCATCCAAACCATAAGGTGAATATGTTGCCATGAATTTTTGCCAGCTAGAGATGGGAGAGAAGCCAGGAAAGCACAGATAAAATCCCACATATTGCAAACAAACAGAGGATGAACCTGTTTTTGCACTGATTACAAGACCAGCCCTAAAGTGGAGTGATGTTCTCCATCTTTCCCACAAGATTATAATTATCTGTGAGAAAGCATATGTATCTTCTCCAGCATTCACTGTTGGAAACAACTGAGTATTCCCACTTTTCAGAGCCATAGGTCTATGTCAAGAAACAAAATGTATCTTTTATTACTGTATATAAGCCAAGGCTCAGTTCTCAAAGATTCATGTGAAAAAGGGTATTTTCATGAATTCATTAATTTATTTCAAGAGGGTTTCTATCATTTGTACAAGTAAAGTAGCACAAAAGAACACAGAAATGCCAGAGGAGAAAACAGCTTGTAGAGACTGTACCAGTTATTTTCTTCTTTCCTCCCACCCATTTTACCCATTTTCAATATAAGTGAGCACATACACACAAAGTGCACTTAAGTTCTATTTACTGCTCAAGCTAGAGAGTGCCAATGCTCAGAAAGGTACAAATCCAGGCCATAAATGCAATTTTTTGATAGTATTTTTTTCCCTAACTATTTAATCCTAAATTATATCAAATTTCACATCTCAGTATTAAAAGGGGATCAGTTTAAGCATCAAAATGATCTTCACATATTCAGAAATTCCAATACCAGTTTTCTTAACTTGGCAAACTACTTTACACCGCAATAACTTTTTCTTATTTTGGTAACCAAACCAGCAGTTCTGAACCAAACCGGGTGTGATATCACAGTGGCCAGTTAACAGTTACACTGCGCCAGCAACGTAGTTTCAGGAGAGGATGTTTTCGCACAGCAAACATAAGAAATGACGAAGACTTTTAAACAATTAGGAATATCTGAAAAAAAGTACCTTCATGAGGAGATCACGATTAAACTGAAAGTTCAGCTGTATCAAGGTCCCAAAAATTGGGAGAGGAATTGGTCCAGGAGGAAGACATCTCCGTACTTGCTGCAACTTTAAAAACTGTGTAATTAGAAGAAATATAGCCACAGCTATAAGAACTTGACTTATTGTCAACATTTTACCGTCTGCTTTTACCAGCTTGTCTTTATTCAAAATAGTCTATTGAAGATACTAAGGCTGGTTGCTCAACCAGTTTTTTCATAAGAGCTTAAATTTCATATAATAACTCTTCCCCGCCTCTAACCCTCCCTCTTTGTTATCAACCACTCCCTTTTTGTCCCACTTATTACATTCTCATGCTTAAGCATATTTAATAGATGCACACCTCTCTCCCTCTTCTCATCCAGATTATATTTATCAAATATGGATCACAGGATTTGTAGGAACTGTGTCTTAAAAGACTAGGGCAAAGACTTTCCAGGCAATGTAAATACACGTAAATTCTCCACCTAATTTTTCTGAAACAATTTTGGATGGTATGTGCTCCTACAAACACTCCACGAATGCTTTTAGAAAAGCAATAGTCATACGTACAAATTAAGCGTGCAAATGTAAGTGGACATTAAATCTTGGACTTTTTAAATTGTTTTATATATATTCCATATACATGTTCTATCTAGTAATGGCAAGACCAACAGAAGTTAAAAGCCCACATTTATCTTAAGATACATAGACAACTATCTATTGCTTAATACAAAAAGCAAAATTTGTTATGCTTTTGAATGTAATTGAAAACATAACTGGTTTAATGTGATGTCACTTTTTTTTTTCTAACATATTTGCAATAGGTAACCTCACTGAGGGTTTTGTCTGCTTCTGAAGTTCCCCTTTCAGTCTTGACATAAGATGGATACCCTAAAGGATATTTTGAGAACTCATCAGAAAGTTTATGAGACAAATAACAAATAATCATATAGAAAATACATCTAGTATGAAACAGATTTAAAAAAAAAAAAAAAAACAAACATGGGAAAAACCTACTAGGGATCTTGAGCTACAACAGAACTAAGGGCCCCAACAAGAACCAGTCATGACACGCGTAACTTGAGAACAAACAGAGCCTGTAGCCAAAACTCTTTGCCACACCTCAACACACACAGGACCCATAAACCCAGCAGCAGGGGAGTTCACATGCCTGAAATCAGACCATGAAAACCACACAAGGAGTCTAGGCATCACATAGCAAGGACCATTACAGTCCCTTTACAGATCTAGATTGAAATGTTAATGGATCGGTGCCTCCCTGTCAAAAATGCCCATCCCCTGAAAGCAAAACACTTGTAAAAGAAACGTGTTTTGACTGATATCCTGAAAGGGAGTGAGTGTGAGAAAGGACCCTAAGACCCAGCCCTCCTCCATCCCATGTGAAGTGGCTATTGTGAGATATTGCTCTGTCAGCAGAGCAGCCTTTCCCTCCAAAGGGCTGCACAGACCATTCCCCAGGGAGCCAGCAGCCTGCCTTCCCCTCAGCTTGGCTCCAGACACCTGTCCAGGTGTTTTTTCACAGGTCTTTTTGCCACATTTGCCTGTGAGAACTTGGTTGCCTCCCTGATACTCACTCAAGGTAGCAGCTACAGCCTTCTCTCTGCCTGGCAGCTCCTAAGACAGCTTCCCCACCACAGTATGAGGCACCAGTGGCATCACATCACCCCATCACCCTTCTGCCTTCCTCCTGCATGCTGGTCAGAGACCAGTTTTCTCTTTGGACTCAGCTGGACTTTCTCTGTATCTCCTTTTTGCCCAGTACCACAACTCTCTTCCAAAGAAACCACAATAAATTCCCATCCTTCTTTCCACCAGGTAACAACTGAGAGCTTAAACAGAATATATTTATTTTTTAACATTATATTTCTACGGCAGACAACAAAAATTCCAATAACCATCTTAGATCTCCCGCTTCTCCAGGGCCATCTTTTTTTCCCAGAGTTTCAAATATGAAACTCTGAAACATTGAGGTCCACTTAATTTTTCCCACATATTTCTCCAGGATGACATTCAATAGCTTCAAACCCTACTTAGTTTTGAGCTCAATAGACACTTTAACCAGTGTTCAGCTGGAGCTAGCCTGGAGTATGGTTCTCTCACACTGGAAAAGGGAGATGACTGTGGGTTGGTATAGACTACAGATGAATCTGGGTTTCATCTTACTTTATTTGATGGAAAATGTATTTATGAGATTGCCTAGGCTCCATTTTCTACATAATTACTAAATGCAAGCACCAGCAGCATTTCTTCAGCTATTCTTCAGGATTAGTGATTTTTAATTTGCTCAAGGCAAACTGCTGCCTCTCCTCCTGCTGTCCAGCTGGATACAAATGAGTCACCTCTTACCAGTGCAGAGCTACTGCCAGGGGGATGTTGGCAGTTTGAGCATGAGGGGACTTCATAACAATCACCTGCCTGTCAGGACATGCTGGACATGGGTTGAACCATCCCACAAAGGTAATCCTGGAGGGGAAGAAACTGGCAACCCAGGTTTCATCCTGTATGCAGATTAGTGATCTCACACATCCCTACCTGTTAGCCTGGGGTGCTTTAAAACACAAGGTAGGCAGAGGTACCTGAAACAAATACAGCTGTGATAATGATGTCAGTCCTGGAGATGGCACTGTGAGCTAATCAGGGTATAAAAATAATCCTTCCTGTGTTGGCAGACAGTATCCAATTTTTACCTCATACAAGAAGAACGTATCTCAATGCCATAAAAAAAAATCCCTTGTTATCTGCCAGTAAGCAAATTTGCCAAATCTTAAATATCCACTTTTGCCAAGTCCTTAGTCACCAGGCTTATAAAGGGCTTCAAGAATTCTTCAGTAGTGCCAAATCTTCTCTTGGTCATGATATCCTAATTTATGCTGACTGATGTAAAAGCAGCTAACTGTGATAAGGAATTCATTAAAGAACTAAAAAAGTAATGAAGCTGAATAAATTATTGGAGGATCTGGAGCAATCACCACCAGTAGATGACCTGTCATGAAGAAGACATTCTCATGTTGCTGGCAACCAGTGGGGTCATCAAAAAGGACAAACTATCAACACTGTGACTGCTCACTGTTGTCATTTGTCTTCCAGTCTTGGTCCTTGCCTGTGTTAAGAAAAGCTCCAGAACTGGCTGATGAAGCTGCTCTTCTATTTTCATCTGAAGGGATGAAATTCACCTGTTTTAGTGGTTGAAACCCTGAACTGTCCTGTCAGGTGTCAAGGATAGACTTGTACACAACAAGCTTGCTCAACAGCAAACATTATCAGTCTGAGGCAGTGTTATCTCAGGCAATAGTATGCCTCTCTAGGAAGCTTCCTTCAAGAGCTTCCTATATCTCCTGCACCCACTAATATCCTGAGACAGACTGGAAAACCTCTGAGCCTATCTCCACAAATGCCTCTGTGGCTTATGAGAAAAAATGCCCAGATCTTTCAATTTATAGTCCTTGCTTCAGGTTCTTTCCCTGTAAATCCTCTTTCCATCTGGTAATAAATAAGCACCAATTCTAATTCTTCCCTTAATGTTTTTATTTGTTACACATCAGGAGAAATTTAACAAGATTTTCCAAACAGAAAGAAAGAACAAAATATGAACTCTTTGTAATTATAATCCTTAGGATGCAACTATCTGAAAAACATTTTTCAGGGTAGCAATTAACCAAATGAAGAGGAAAGAAAATCTGAAGACATGGAAAAAGGAATTCACATACAGAAGTAATCTTACAGAATAACTCTTCCCTGCATCTACCATTTCCTACCGAGGAATGGCACAGATCTGGTAGGGAGGTGGCTTCATCGTGCTCCCAAAAACAAACTTGGTGTTGACTTCCTTCACTCCTTCTGGAAGGGTGAACGTGAATGCCTGTAGCAGGGTGGAAAAGACAATAAAGAGCTCCATCCTTGCCAACAGCTCCCCCATGCACACACGCTGCCCTGTGAAGAGACAGAAAAGGCAAT